CCTCAACTAAACGCATATGTTGACAAAACCAATGAACCTGCTGCGACTGTGCTATGACATACAATGTAGAAATTGTTAGTTTCGCTGCGTTTTAAGAAAGCAAGGGCTGAAGTAGTTTTCCGCCATTATGCAACAGTTCCTTTCGTTCAGTTTGAATAGTTCCCTTGTTTCATGCCTCGATTAAAGGCTGGAACATCGTCATTCCAAAAATGAAATTTATCAATGCTTAATAAACAAGAGTCTGCCTGGCAACAACGAGAAACATTTCATAGCCACTGCAAAATAAAATGGTCAACAAACTAACGCATTAATTCTATCGTATGATCCACTGTGAATCATGATGCAAAGATCTAAAATACAAGCGCGATGCAGATGTACTAAAGTGCCTGATATTTGGTGCCACGGAACTCTGTTGCGAGCTCCTTGGAACAGTCACAAGACCAACTAAAACAGCACTGCCGTGCCTCTGGCACGGAGTTAATTAAATAACCGATGCAATGCCAGAACTACGATGGCGATATGATTCCAGCTCGGTCGAGGTCATTCGCCTTTCTTCTTTCTTACTTGTCACATAGCTGCTATCAATTCTGCACTTAAAATAAGGTTATCCTGACTGATTCCATGGAAATGAAGATCAGCGCCTCAGCAGTGGCTTTAATGAAAGAAAGGCGCGAGAATTGGTCCCGTCACGGAGTGTAAACAAATCATATCGAATTTCCCTTTTTCTTTATGATACAAGCTGAAATAAACGCTATGGATATCAATGAATGACGGTTGTTGAACAATGTCGCACACACACACTTTCGTTGGACAAAAGAAGATGCCTTGTTACACATCATTAACAGAATTTTCGCGGAATTCTCTCAATTTCCACTTTCTCTTGTATCAGAGAGGCATTAGGAAAATAATTTGACTCTAAAGCAGGACTAGAGACAGTGCCTAGACTGCGCTTACGCATCCCCCAAGCAAGCATTAAAAAATCAAATTATTCTGTTGTCCACCTAAACCTTCCCCAGCCCCCCCCCCTCGGCCAGAAAACAGAAACAATTACGTTTGCATAAACTTTAACGAAGTCAGATATTATAATTACTTAGCTTTAAAAAAAACCAAAAATATCACTACCTTCTCATCTGCTCCAGACGCGTTTGTAATCGTTTATGAATGGGAGAGAGGCGAAGCACGATCTTGAATTGTTCGTCGCGTTTCTTCTTCAACAAGTCACGTAGCAACAACTGAAGTTTGTCGTATTCATCATCCCAGCAAGAAAAAATTTCAAATGCTTGATTCATGATCTACATTATTTCAGTTTACAAACCTTATAATTTGTTATATTTTTAAAAAAAAACCTTATCGAACTCTTCAAAATTGATGTGCATTAGTCGTCGAACGCTGAGAACCTAAGAAAACACAATGTGGCTTTTAATGTCAATCGGATTCAAATACCTTTAGCATCTGCAGCTGCAGGTCTTTAGATATTGTTTCCAGCAGATGTAGACATCTTTGAACAGGATAATATGTATTTCTAATCTTTCTCAGATGGTTGAAAATTGCCGTGACCGCCATTCGTATGCGATCTAGTTCTGATGCGCTCAACAGGTCATTAACGGGAAAGTCTTTCATAAGCAAATTGTAATCATTGACCATATCAATTGCTTGTTTTAATCCTGAAACATCAACAAACGATTAAATTAGAATTATAAGATATACCAACAGTATGCGTAACTAAATACCAGCCGATAACACAGAAGAAATGGCAACTACTGTCATCAGCAGAAAGTGTTACACTGGTGCTGCAATCATAGGTGATGCAAATCATTCATCATTATGTCATGATATTCGAGGCAAAATTTTAACGGTAGAATTAAGTTCCAATACCAGTACCAATTTCAGAGAAGAATTACATCATTTTTTCTTGCAATCTATCTTTGCAAACAAAATAACCTGATCAATGTTGCTAGAATAAAAGTATCACTTAGCCATACGAGTCAAAGGGTATTCAGAACTACAAAACATTCAGTATCACTCACATCACTCCATAAAAAGAGGCGCCAACTGCGGCATGTCGTCAGTCTGACAAGCAATGAATTTGAGTATTTGGATCATGCCTTTGCAATTCATACTGAAAAACAGCAGAAAACGATTTATTTTATATATGATTCAGAAAGAAAACAAGCCTCGCTCTAATCAAGTCAAGGTCCAATGCGGAAAGACCTCCGAAATCGTGCAGCACGCAAAGCAAAAATATATACTCCTAACCCTCCCCCTCCGATGATCAGCGGGACAAAGGCCACAAACTCAGTACGGATTGAATAAGGTTTATCACCCTTGTCACCAAGAAACTACATTTGGTAACACGGATCGACCGCTCACATCTTGATCCTGAATTTTTGATGGTTTCAGACCATCAAAACGACATTCAGACTTTAATTATGTCTTTATCTTGAAGAAGACCCGTGGAACACAAGCTCACATACTGGTATCTGTCAATTAGGCTGCTCACCTGTCGTGTTGTGTATAAATTATATCATTTTTTACCATTTTTAAGCAGAAAATTATATAAATCCATATCAGTTAACATAATACACAATCGTACATTTGTGTGATCAGTAACAAATGAATTCCATATCTCTAGAAATAAACTAACAATCCCGGCCAGTCATTGATTATCAAGAAAGCATATACGATAAGAAAATAAGGTAATGACAAGAGGGTACTGCTCTAGCTAATTCTATAATAAAACAGGAGTATTTTGGTCAATCCGCCCTGATCTGCACTGAAGACCACAGTCGTTTCGCATTTTTTCCATGGTTGACTAAAAAAATCTGGGGAAATGAAGACCATTCGGTTTTTTTATATCTAGGTTTCAGAAGATCAGTCATTTCTTTCATGTGCCGAAGGTTGGCATAAAACACGGTTTATTTATACAGAACAAAAACAATTTCCTTAAATGTCCTTCAGGATTTAAACGTACGAACCGCTGTGAACGAGAAAAAAAACTTCCGCAATCAATCCATCTCTCTTCCTTGAAGAAGGACTGTGAGACACGGGCTGAAAGTGGCTACTGCTCAATCACCCGACTACCCTAATAGTGTTGTGCATAAATAACTCGTTTTGTGCTGCTTTCAGAATTTAATGCTTCAAAAGGTTCAATTTCGGAAACAGTAAAAAAACGCCTTCTTCGACTTCCCTCTGAACAACTGTGAGGTTACTGACCAAAATTATGATGTCTGACTTTTAGGGGTTGCGTACCTAGTAGTCACTTATACCGCGAAAGATATAAACTGCTTATTGCCCAGGGATAATTACATTACGTGGCCTTCTCAAATGAACCTGGAATTGAGAAAAATTTCCTTACCTGATATGTCAAGTGGTTTCAGTTATAAAATATTTAAAGCCAATGCAGCAGAAGGAAACGATATGTAAACCATTTCCGTTGCGCAGAAATCTTATCAACACAAAACTCACCGGTGTCTGTATCAAAGCTGACTGTGGCATGGAAACGTTTTCCATGCTTAAGTATATTCAGCGTGAGGGTTACTTCTGGGGACTCCCGTTTTGCCTGCAATTTGATCAGTGCACGTTCTAAATTCAGCCAAAATGTGATTTCCTGGAGGGCAGTACCACTTGTTGGGTCTCTATCCAATTTTGTTACCTGAAACGCATGTTATTTCCAAGAAAGAGTAGTTTCTAAAATTCTTACTTTTTGTATTTCTCTAATCCAGCGATTAACGCCATTCTGAAGCTGATTCAAGAACGTTGAATCATCGATTAGGTCACCAAGGTCACTTATGGATGGATGGGTGTTCTTCTCAGCTGCTTTTTTCACAACGGCCTGCACCATCGGATGTATTACAAGTGTCACTTCAGGGATCTCGATGTTTTGCTGCAGATGCAACAGACCCATTTCCAGTTCCATCAACTTCTTCTCGACTGATGGGGCCACTTTGTCGCCATCACGATAACTGAAAAGACCAGTTCAACAAGCACCTTGAATGAAGAAACGCTATCCTCAGTACCTTTCTGCTCGGCCAGACTCTTTGATATACGACTTGAAGTAAGGAGACACCGCAGCGCTGATGTATGAGTGTAAAGTTTCGTAAGGTGAACCATCGCTAAGACTTAGGAACCGAACCTGCTTATTGAAAGGTTTCTCTGCTTCAATCACGGGCCCACACTTTATTAAGACAATTCTGAACAAAAAAGATCACCTAGTTCATAAACGAATAAAATTCATCACGCCATTTTACCCCACTGTTCTCGGATTGGTGAAGTGGACGTCCAGCGACATTTGATAGACGACATTCATCAAAGGTTCCAATTCATGGTCAGACATTTGTGAACTGTCTTCGTTTTCTGAAAAGTTTTCATTCTCAATACGAAAAAACCAAACTGAAAACTGTTCTAATAATCAGTTCTTTAGTTCCTTAAACCCTAAGAAAGTTACCAGAATAATCAAACGGCCGTAAACTGATTTTAAGATTTGAGGATTACGCTTTCAAATGATCAGACACATTGGAAATTTCCAAGTTTCAGTTGCAAGTGTAAAATCTACCACCCCAGTTTCATGCTTTCTCTGTATTATTTTGAGCATCTGACACCGCCAAATTTTAATTTTTGTCCAATTTCGACAATCAGGAACGCAAATCATATGAACGTATGAAACATTACGATTACCTTTTCACTCTTTCGCGTACATTCAAATCAACTATACTTTTTCTGTTCAAAATATCTCCCTCTCATTATCTACAACTTTCTACGAAATCGATACGAATACCCAATTTACGCCCTAGCAGTGATCAAGCATAACAGTGGATGAAAACATTTGGTGGTGGCGAACTGCATCTTATATTTCTCCTACCATGTAGGCGAAGCCTCCGATATTTTGAAAGAACTATATAACCTGCCTCGCCGTCTGTATGAATTAACTTGTACTAACCTTTGAGACGAATGCGTTCTATGAGAAGAACCTGGGTTTGCTGATCAGCGATGAACTTGCGGAGGCATTCGATCGTCGCGGGCATCTTCATGCAGTCGTCCAAAGCTGACAAGTAGTCAACATTTTCCTTATCATCTACAGTAGCAAAATCAACGGCCAATGATGTGAAGACAATCAATCAGGTCTTATGAGCAGCAACTGACCTGCATCATCTTCAACTAAAACTTTCACCATGCGACGCAGGTATGGTATGAAAGCGCTTACTTCAGCCAGCTCAATCTGGGCAACTTCTGACTGAGCCTGGCCTTCGCCGGCACCACGATCGGTACCGGTTTCTGCCATTAGACAGCGAGCACACTATACATAAAAACGGATTATTTGCAATGAAGATATATGAATTCTCGTAAAACGCGCTCTAAAGCATCTGCACAGCTCTCAACAAAAAGACGTCACTTTTAGACTCTCACTTTAACATTATATTCAACGGTAGATCATTTTTTAGAATCGACGGAGGGAATTTTATGACACTTCTATTTAACCCATTAAGCTAAGTGATTTTATCATCTAATGAAACACGTATAGCGACTTAACTGTACCACTACATCATAAGACCAATTAAAAAGAAATCGCCTGTTATAGCTTCAATGCCATCTGCGTTTACCACTGAACGATATGATAAAGATGGCAACCTTCACACGGTCTTTTCTACCGCGTGCAAAAGCGAAATTCTGGAACAAACTGCATAAAGACAATTGCTCAGGTCACTCTTGCCTGACATCGAATCTTTAGATGGTCGCTGGGCAGTTAGTAGCTCTTTCACCTTGCTGTCTGGAAGCATCCGCAAGACCTGCCCAAACCATCGCAAGTGTGACTTTTCAATCTGAAGAAGCAGCGGCCACAAACTAAGCCGCTCTCAGATATCTCCACTCCGGAAAATGCCAAGACCCGTCAGGAGAGCGATTCCTCTCAGAAAGACCATGTCGGCCGCTTGCACACGAGATGGAAGGTTCTCACTCATAACAAACGACTAATCAAAATAGTCGTTTGCATGGGGGATGAAGATCGACTTGAACACCGACAACCTGGTCTTCAAACTCCACTGTCTGTTAGTCACAACGGTTCAGACTAGATCATTCAGAATACCACTAGCCAATCCAATTCGCTGGTCGATTTAGTGCTCCCACTGCGCATCATCGGTAAACAAGGCAGCGAGGTATCTGAATGTTTCAACCTGTTTCACTGATTTACCCCTGATCTGAAGAGCACAAAGGGTAGGAAAACGAGAAAGCTTTTGGATTTTCCTTTTAAACTTGACAACACGAATGTCCGCCAAGTCACAATCGGCTGCATTTATAAACAGGGCTGAAGATCAGTTTCAAAAAATGTCAACAAAACAAGGTCGTCTGAAAACAGCATCCTTTTTGTTTCACTAACTACGCTGATAAACTCGACGCATTGGCTGCCTTTGACAATCCTATTTATGTATAGCACAAACAAAAGAGGGGACAGAACGCAGTCTTGGCGCAAAACAAATGCCAAAATTAAAAGGTTTCGACCTAATGCCATTTACTCTGATGCAGCACCTGCTATCAGCATATATAGATTGGATGGTCCGTAGGAACGGGTGATCGAACCCATGTGTTCGCAGGCACGGCCACAGATTGCTGCTCGGAATCTGGTCATACTTCCCTAGTTCCACAAGGCACATGTAAACCCGGTGAGCAAACTCTTAAGGTTCTTCAACAATCTGGCGTAAGGCAAAGATTTGGCCAGAGATGATTTGCACTGACCTGCGGCCACAGTGGTCGTGTTCGATCATAGAGTCCGCTATTCCGAGGCACCTTCGTTCCAGAACCTTAGCGAAGGCTTCAGGCCCAATGAGGTAACGCATCAATAATCAAAGCAGTCCCTATAGTGTCCCTTCTTTCTTCTTGAACAGGGGTATTACAACTCCCGTTCTCTAGTGAACTGCTGTCTTCCCCGTAGCCATTGCAATTTTACAGACATAATGGTCACAGCATGCCTTGTTCGAGTAAAGCTTAAGGCCTATCATGGACGATTTCATCGATTCTAGCAATCTTGCTACTTTAAGCTAAACTTAAAGACTAATATCGGTTACATGCTGCCTCCTCAGGAAAGTTTTCCAGCGTTTGCACAGG